AAACAGGAGACCGCAGCTTTAAAGGGGAAAATGCAGATGTTGGATAAATACAGTAAGAAATAGTCATTTGCATCATAGGTTGCGTCTCATACAATATTTTATTAAAACCAAGGCATTAATCTTGCAATAAAACATTTTCTCTGTTTAAAAAAAAATTTTCTCCGTAGAAAACCCTTCAGTAATTATTTCCCTAAATCAATAACCAAAAAAATCACTGCTCAAGAAAAAAAAAACCAAAACCAACAACTAACAATGTGCCCCACTAGGATTCACTTGGTTCAGGCTATTAATGCTCCAAGAACTACCCAACACCCCACCTAAGTGATCTAATAAAGTAACATGCATCCTGTGCTGACCCCGAGGTACATTACCATGTTCCTAGGAGGATACAGCTCCTTCTTCTTCCGGAGACTTAGGAGGGCTCTTAGACCTGGATCTAGAGTTGGATTCCCTCTTTGAGGCAGGGGGAGGGCTTCTAGATCTGGACCGGGATCTTGACCTGGATCGGGATCTGGAGACAGATGAGGACTTTGACTTGGATCTCCTGGCAGATCTGGACTTGGAGGTGGAGCGAGACCGAGAGCGTGTGCGAGACCGGGATTTGGACCGACTGTAGCGGGACCGACTGCGGGACCTAGAGCGGCTCCTGCTTCTAGATCGGCTGCGACGGCGTCTTCTAGGGCTAAAACACACCAGGAGGAAAAAAAAAAAAAGAAAAAAAAAAAGGGCGCGTTAAAAGTTGCTCAGGGGTGACGCACGGACTGGAGCGAGTGCTGCGGGACAGGGAAGGCGGAACAGGACGCACGTGGGCAAGAAAATGAGAGTTACGAGGGCGCCATTGTTCAGAGTGAGTGGCCGGGGGCTAAACCTACTACAGGGCGAAACTCTTCCACTCCGAGGGAACCCCACGTGTCTGTGCTAGTAAACCCCCAGTTCCTCTTCCCAACCTCACCGCGAAACTCACTGGGAAAAGGACACAGAATGCCAGAATCGCTCCGGTTGGAAGAGGCAACAGTGGGTCACCCGGTCCAACCTCCCTGCTTAAGCAGGATCGGCCTAGAGCGCATGGCTCAATTCTGTGTCCCTACCATTCACTGACAGAGACCTCGCTACCTCTCTAGGCAACCAACACGAAAACAAACGGCTCCCACTGCACAGGCGCACAGCTGAGGTTCGTCTCCTTTACTGCCCAAACTCCGTTGCCCGTTCCGCGGCGCTCACCTGCGGCTGCGGCGGCCGTAGCCGCTGCTGCTGTACCGGCGGGGCGGCGGCCCGCGGCGGCTGTGGTGCGAGTCGGGCGGGCGGCCGTAGCGGGCCATCTGCACGCGGAGCTCCCGGCCGTCCAGCACCGCCCCGTCCATCGCGTCCATCGCGTCCTCCGCGTCCCGCTTGTCGTGGAAGCGCACGAAGGCGAACCCGCGGCTCTCCTTGGTGTAGCGGTCCCGGGGGATGTAGACGTCGCCCACGCGGCCGTATTTCTCAAAGACCCTCCGCAGGGTGTCCGGGGAGGTGCGGTAGGTCAGGTTGTCCACCTTGAGGGACGTCATGCCCTCCACATCGGGCGGCGGGCGGCCGTAGCTCATGGTGGGCAGGAGCCCCTGAGGGGCGGCGGCGGCCGAAGAGAATAAACCTGAGGGGTTTCAAGGGGGTCAGCAGCCGGCGCGGCCCTGAGGGCGACGCGCCTCACGCCGCGAGGCGAGTCCAAAAAGGAGGAGAGCTACAGCGCATAGGGGAAAGCCGCGGGGCCCGCCGCAGGGTGCAGCACCCACCTCAGGGTCCGAGGGGCGGCCCGAGGCCGGAGCGAAGCGCCAGGAGCGGCCGCCCCGTCCCGCCGCGACGAGGAAATGAGAGGGAACCGCCCGCGCGCGCGGCTTAACGCCACAAAATGGCCGGCGGCGCCCCGGAAGGAAACGCGGCACCGCCCCGCCCGCGGCGCCGCGGGAGCGACCCCCGATCCGTTTTTCCTCGTTTTCCCCGAGGTGGTCCTGGAGGGAGCGTGGGGAATTCTCCTGTAAATTAATAATTCGCCCTGCGGTTGGAAAGTGGCTGTTAAAACGCGGCCGCCGTGACCCGGAAGGGCTCGGTGGAGGCGGGGAAATTTTTGAACAATGTGTGTTGAAAACCGTAAAAAAACCACGCCAAAATAGCAATAACAATAAAAGGAAAATAAATTAGGGCACAGCAGTGTGTGTGGGAGAGGGAGAGAGGCGACAAAAACCCGCCGCGGGAAAAAAAAAAGCGATGGTGAAGTGAATCGCTTGTGGCGCGGGCGGGCGGGGACGGTTTAAAATGGCGGACGTGGAGGGGAGAGCCGTGAGGGGAATGGGGCCGGGGTCTGCCAGAGCGATTCTCCCGGAGCAGCTGCTGCGGGAGCTCCGTGCCTTTCCTGCCCGCGCTCCGCTGCGTGCCTGTGGCGGCTGTGAGGGGCCGGGCAGCCCGGAGCGGGCTCTCCTTCATCTCTGCGGCAGCGGTGCCCGGGGAAGCCTCCGCGGCCCCGCCAGCTCTGGATGTGCCGCGGTGGATCCGCTCCCCGCCGGCTCCTCGGTGCCTGTGAGAGCCGAGCAGGGAAATCCTGCAATCATCCTCACAGCGGCCCGCTCTGCAGGTTCGTGCTGCGGGAGATCTGCACAGCCCTTGTGTAACGGTGACAAGCAGAAACTTCTGAGTCCAAGGAATTCTGTGAAAGCTGCTCCCCCCCGCCCCAAAAGTTGTTGCTCTGTCATCTCAGGCATGAATAAATGCCCAAACTCCTGAACTGTAATACCTGGTTCTCATTCTCAAAACAATTTCGAAAGTTTCTACCCAGCTGTTCCATAACACTATGTTAAAAAAAGAATATAAACGAGACTTATTTTCTTCTGATCTGTTTAATCCAATGACAGTATCGATATGAACAGTTATTTCAGTATTAGAATTTAAATTCTTAGTTTTACTATAATTGTGCTAATTTTTTTTTTTTTGCGCTGAAGAAGTATAAAAGTAAACAGTGCCATTAATACAAATCCAGAAGCAACAGTTTGCTTCCTGCTACAAATGACTTCAGAAATCAAATAAACTGGTACTGGTTGGACATTTTGGGTTGCTTCATGTTTATTCTATTTTTTCACTGGAGAGTTTTGATTAAAAAATCCCTGTTTCATTTGCTGAAACCCTTTTCCAAAGGAGAAATTTGAAGTTTATCTTAACAGTGATTTTCCTAAAATTACAGAAGAAGTTTCATATGCCCCTTCCTCCCAGTTTCAGTCCAAACACGTTGCTGCTGTTGCCAAAGGAATTGTTCCAGCCCAGTTTGCTGTGCAGCAGGATGGAAGCTTCTACTGGCATAAGGGAAAAAAGACATGAGTGGGACACTATTCCTTAAGGATCTTCAAATTCTGCATTATAAATTAGTAATATTAAAAAGGAAGAAGAGAGCTTTTCTTGTGTTAAGACCCCTCACCTTGATAGTTTAATTGCATCTTTGCAAAGCAGTTTCTGAATAATCACACTGACTTTCCTCCAAAAATGAAAATTACATGCTGTTTTGAAAAACACTGACATTAAAAAAAAATAATACAGTTTAGGAATTAGAAGAGCATGTAATGCATGTATTAAATATATGTAACTGTGGCTGGGGTGCAGATTTTATTTCACAGAGCTGCAGGGTGTGTCAGGTTGGAAGGGACCACAGTGGGGTTATCTGGTCCCACCTCCCTGCTCGAGCAGGGTCATCCTAGAGAGAGCATGGAACATGGCTGTGTCCAGATGGCTCTGGAATATCCCCAGTGAGGGAGACCCTCTCTGGACAATCTGTTCAGGGCTTGGGCACTGCACAGCGAAGAAGTTCTGCCTCACACCCGGGTGGAATTTGTTATAAATAAGAAGCTTGACTAGGCCAATATTCAAGCAGCAATCAATTTATTATTTAATATGGTAAAGTATGAGCAATACAGCGCTGGGTACAGTGGGGGAAGTTTTCCCTCCAACTGCACACTGATAGTTGAGGCTCCGAGGTATTTATAGGGGTACTCATAAGCTTTCTCAGTAGTTTCTATTCCCAATTTTTACTCATCAGCAGTTTCTATTCCCAATTTTTATGTCACCCAATTTTTCAATCACTATTGTGATTTAGTTTTTCTCAGGATGTACCCCAGAAGGTGGTGGTCTGGTTTCCGAAAGAAGGAAGATGAATCCCATCTGGTGAAGTCCAGCTCCCCAGATGTGGGTCCACCTTTTAATTGCAAGGACTATAAATCTCATAACAGTGATGTCCAGCTTCCCTTGGTCAAAACTATAAATCCTTGAGTTGATGTTCATCTTCCTTTCTCAAGCTGCTTTTCTCTGTTTTGTTAAGGCGTGAGATAAGCATGTTTCCTTTATATATATTCCAAAGCTATAGTTTCAAGGATACAAGCAATATTCTAAAATCATACTTCAAAAGGTTATTATTGCAGAACTCTTTAAGAGTTAACTACAAGTAAAGAGCAATATCCTTAACGCTTCAATTCAAATGCTCCTAAATCAACTAAGGTTAATTGCGAACAAAAGATAGGTTCAAAGGCTTCTTCCATGCTTTACTTTCCTCAGCTATTATTAGAATTTGTCTTTATAACTGTCCCATGGTCTGTTTCCACACATATCACAATCACAAATACACACATTGCCTGTATGTACCTGACACGAAACACAGCTTTGTATTTCACAAAAGGAATTGTTCCAGTCCATGACCCCACTTTGCTGTGCAGCAGGGTGGAAGCTTGTACTGGCATTAGGGAGAAAAGACATGAGTGGGACATTATTCCTAGAGGAGCTTAAAATTCTGTACTATAAATTAATAATCTTAAAAAGGAAGAAGAGAGCTTTTCTTGTGTGAAGACCCCTCATCTTGATATTTTAATTGCATCTTTGTAAAGCACCCTCTGAATAATCACATTGACTTTCCTCCAAAAATGAAAATTACATGCTGTTTTGAAAAACACTGACATTAAAAAAAATAATACAATTTAGGAATTAAAAGAGCATGTAATGCATGTATTAAATATATGTAACTGTGGCTGGGGTGCAGATTTTATTTCACAGAGCTGCAGGGTGTGTCAGGTTGGAAGGGACCACAGTGGGGTTATCTGGTCCCACCTCCCTGCTTGATCAGGGTCATCCTAGAGAGAGCATGGAACATGGCTGTGTCCAGATGGCTCTGGAATATCCCCAGTGAGGGAGACCCTCTCTGGACAATCTGTTCAGGGCTTGGGCACTGCACAGCGAAGAAGTTCTGCCTCATGTCCAGGTGGAATTTCCTGGGCATCACTTGGTGTCCATGGCCTCTGGTGCCATTGCTGGGCCCCTGGAGCGCAGCCTGCGCCCTGCTCTGCCCTCCCTGCAGACAGGGACACACAGGGATGGGCCCCTCTCAGCCCCAGCAGCCGCAGCCTTTCCCCAGGACAGAGCTGCCCCAGTCCCCAGAGCATCTTTGTGGCCCTCCACAGGACCCACTCCAGGAGCTCCGGGTCTCCCATCCCGAGGAGCCCAGAACTGGACACTGCTGCAGGGGAGGCCTGGCCAGGGCTGAGCAGAGGGGCAGCATCACCCCCTGACCTGCTGGAAATGCTCTCTGTGAAAAATGCCAGTCACTTGTTTTTAAAATTTTAAAAGTTTAGTAGTAAAAAAATGGTTATAAAAATAGTAATACAATTAGAGTAACAATAATTTGGACAATTTGAATTAGGACAATATGAGACAATAGAAGAAAGAGTTATGGATGTCCTGGTACCTTTTTCTGGGCAAAATAAGCCCGAAAAAGGACACAGTTAACAGAGGATTAACCCTTAAAAACAATAACCTGTTGCATATTCATACATCTCATACATGATGCATAAATTCAAATACAGGATTCTGTCTGGTCATCGTCAACTTCTTCCTCATAATCCTAATGGCGTTGTCCTGCCCAAGCAAGGCAGGAAGAAGTTCCTTTCTCCTGATAATGGAGCAATAAATTCTCTTTCTCTGAAAGATTTAGGTGTCCTGTGGCTGCTATCTCAGTGCGAGTCCCTTCTTTAAAAAAAAAAAATATCCTACATAGCATAGTTTCTATTTTAACATTTTGTTATAACCTAAAACTATATTTAACACACTACTTAAGAGAATTAATACAGCATTACTTTCTAACACAACACATATAATATTCATTTGAATATTTGTGAAAAGCCAATCATACAGTACACATTTTTCACACTCTCCTAACACACCCAGGGACATCAGTGCCTTCCTCGTGCCCTCGTGCCCAGTGCTGCTCATGGACACCTCCTTGGCCACCAGGAGCCCCAGCTCCTTCCCCACAGAGCTGCTTTCCAGGCACTCAGTCCTGGCCTGGGCTGGGGCTGTTCCTCCACAGGTGAAGGACCCTGCACTTGCCTGTGCTGAACTTCAAAATGTTCCTCCCCAGCCTGTCCCTCTGAAGGGCTCTCAGCACTCTGGGCTATGGGCACCCATCCCAGCTTTGTGCCATCAGCTGAGGAGGCATCCACCCCTCATCAAAGTCATTGATAAAAGGGTTAAACAACCCTGGGGGACACCAGTGAGAGGCCTCCAAACAGATCCATTGCCACTGATTATGACTGGGATTTTCCATTCAGCCAATTCTCAATTGTCTCACTGCCCACTCGTCCCATCCTGAGTTTCTCCAGGAGGGTGTTGTGAAACACAGTGTTGAAAACCTTGCTGGAGTCAAGATGGACAGTATCCACTGCCCTCCCTCATCCATCCATGCAGTTGTTTCATCACAGAAGGTGATCAGGTTTGTCAAGCAAACTTTATCCCACTTCAGATCTAGTTTGAACTCTCTCAATGAGCCCTTCTAACCCCTGGGCTAATATCCTTTTCTCCCTTTGAGACCTCTGTTTCTTTAAACCCCTTACTGTAGACAGCAGAGGTAAAATGTGATTTGTCATTTACATCAATAAATTCTGCATTTCCTTCTCTGTCCTTTTGGCCAGCATTAAAGTAGAACTGGTTTAGTTGAATTCTCCAATCCCAGAGGCCCAACAGAACAAAGGATGGTAACAGGAAAAAGCGGCATTTGGTCAATGTCTGATCCTCTCTCAGTTTTGCTGATGTTTTAACAGAGATCTTCATGACTCAAAGATAAATGAATCTTAAATTCATTATTTATAAATACTGTGAAGTAAAAGATTAATGGTATCACTTCCATCCCTGGAGGTGTTCAAGGCCAGGTTGGAGTGGGCTTGGAGCAACCTGGCCCAGGGGAAGGTGTCCCTGTCCATAGCAGGGATGGGACGAGATGGGCTTTAAGATCCCCTTCAATCAAAACCATTCTGTGGTGCCGTGATTCTGTAACTGTGTGGGGGTTTTATTTTTTGGTTTGGTTTGTGAGGGTTTTTGTGTGTGTGGTTTTTTTTTGTTTGTTTTGTTTTTTGTTTGTTTGTTTTTAAATTTTGCTAGGTGTTATTTAGTGGCTAGAAATTACAAATCTGAAAAACTGGAACAAATAACTTTAGTTTAAGGGCTGGGAGATTTTCACCGCTTTAAACAGGAAAAGGTTGCTTTGCCAAAACTGCATTTCCCATAGTGCACAAGGGCTCTCAGGGCTGGGTCAGCTGATCCAGACACTGAAATGTTCTTTATTTCCTGTGCAGGGCATGGAAATGTACGAGCGGCTCATCCTCCCTTCGTCAGCTGATTGAGAGGCCGGGGACCGCAATTGTGATTTCAGCAATGCCGAGAAGCTGAGCCGATTCACCTGCTCGATATTGGGAAAGGGATGCCATGGAGTAACACCCTGCAGTCAGCCCTAAAACCTCATGGGAACAGGTAGAGGGAATCCTGGGCTCCACCTTTTGTACCACACCCTCTTATTTTTCAAGTTTTGTTGCACGTTATTTAAAAGGGTTACCGGCATTCTTGATTAATTGATATTTTCTAGTAGCTAATAAGTAGCCCTAAGTAATCATTATTTTTGAAGCTTGCTTTCTTTTTCTTTTATTCTTTTTGCCTTTTTTTTTTTTTTTACAGAGGTTAAGAGGAAACTTTTAAAAGAAAAAAGAGTTTTTCCAGACTGAAGCTGAGGACTTGGGAAAAATACACAAAATGTCTCCAGAAGGAAAAAAGCTTTTCAACATCATTATTTTGGGAGTCTCATTTATGTTTATATTCACTGCTTTCCAATCCTGTGGAAATATCGCAGTAGGTGTCACTTTCAAATCATGCCATGTTTCTATCTCAGTTGTTTATCCTGGCTTGTCTTTTGTGTGCTCTAATGTTGCCTTATTTGGGATTTCCTAATGTGCACAATACTTTGACATTTATCTTCTTTTGGCTTAGTTTGAAGTAGATTAATGTGTTTAACCAAATAATTCTGCAGGTTATCTCTTTAAGATAGCATAGCTATACATAAAACTGAGCCTGATTGCTTGGAAAGTAGAAAAATAATCTCATAAAATGTTTGAGCTTTGAAATAGTGTCTGCTTTAACACTTGTGATGTTAGATGATTGAATTACACTGAGTCTTGTATATTCTATATTGTCCCTTTCAAAATATTTGCCTAAGTTATTATTAACCATGCTATTATTAACGGGATTTTCATAATCTAATGAACTAGATATTGAGGGGGAGTATGAGGATAACACCTGACAAATAGATTTCTACAATTGCTAAACTGCCAAGTCACCTTCCAGCTGAAGGAGTTACTTGCTGCTATTTAGTATCTCTTTGCAGAGCAAAAATTGAGCACAGCATAATCCAAATTTACTGTTACTATTTAAATTTTAGACTCCTGTTACTGCCAGATTTAGCCCTTTAGCTTCCTGAGCTGTACTGTTAGTTCTGCTCCTGCAGGGCAGTTAGATTTCAACATCCCCTTTGAGCCCACAGGTCTTACAGCTCTTTTCTTGCATTCAAGAAGGATCCTTGCTGGGTTCAGACAGATAAATGTCCTTCACTGCATTATAGAAAATTATAGAAATATTTAGAGTATCACAGAATAAGACAGAAATATTGCAAAAATAACTACTTGGAGTATTTGTAAGTTCCAGTGCAGTGTGATACTTTCTGTGAGCTCTCAAGGGCAGCCCAATGATCTCAGAAATTCTGTAATGAATTCAGCACCTCACTGAATTGGACTTTGTGATCATGCAATCATGTAATTCATTGTCATAAAAATCTTCACTAGTGACTTTCAATCAGATCTGCCTGCCAGTCCAACTAACTGCATGGTCTTGTGATCACTAATGCTGATTCAAGGGGAAAAAAAGGAACAGGGAAATAATGGGAAGCTGAAAAGAATGGAAACTCTTATCAGGGATTCGTAGTTAGGTCAAGTTAAGATTATTCTGAAGCTTCTCCTTTTTTCCCCACTTTTAAAATTAAGATAGTCATACCTATCCACATAAGAAAGGTCTTAAGTGAAAAAGAAGTTTTGTGAAAAATTTTAGCTCTCTTATAAAATTATGATAAAATATTAAAGTACTAATTTCTTCTTCAAACATAGATGTTTCCTTGCCAAGTATCTCCTGCATCTTTGTAGTGGAGGTGGTGTGAGTTGTAATTAACATTTTAAATTCTTTTAAGTACTTTGTAGTGTCTATTAATGAATGATTCTAATGTTTGATACTGACTTCAAACCAATGCAGGTGTTCTCAAAATACAACACAGATTCTAACATATTACAATGTATGATCTTCTCCTCACAGCAAACTGTTATCACGAATTTAAACAACACAGACTTCCATGGCAGTGGCTACACAAGGTAATTACACAGATTTTCTTCTTACTTTGCTCCTTGCAGGGTGAACTTAGTTACAGTAGAGAGACACTCTCAAGAGATTGCAGAGTTCTGCTGACTTCATAATTTATTGACACACTTAAAGCAGTCTAAAACAGGCTTCTCACAGTTCTGCTCTGAATTACTTCCAGTTGAACTACATATCTGGTTTGCATGTTTTCTTTGTAGGGTGAAAAACCACTGTCATCACATTCTCAACATTTTACCTTCGGAGGCGAGGAAGGTGGAAGTTTAAAAAGAAATAAAACTGCTAACTCAGGGCTTGGTTGTTTGCTTTTGTACATGGTGTTTGTGTAGGACAGGTGGTGTGGATCAGCTCTCAGGAAATACAACTCAAATGTGAGAGGAGCAGTCAGAAAGACAAGCAAAGCCACAAAAAGCCATTCTCATTGTTGCACTGGCAGAGTCAAACTTGTCAGGCATGATCAGGGACCTTTTGCATTCCAAATTAATCTGTCCTGTAGGAAAACCTCGTTGCTCCTTTGAAGGGTTTACTGCCTTAATTTAAACTAAAAATGCCACTGGCACAAAATATGTCTGTAAAATTTCTGTGGTGTATCTGGCAGAAGATGAAAACCTCACTGACAAATAAATGAGGTTCTAGAACATTCTTCTCTAGACTTACAGGGTACAAAATACAATAACTGCTGTTCAGGCAGTTTGACAAATGCATGCTGTAAATTCCAAGATGTGATTGTGTGCAGTAGTTTGGGACTTTACTCAGCAATCCAGGGAATATTGTTCACTCCTGTATTCCCATGTGGAGTGCCATGGGTGAAGGGAACAGAAGAAAGTAGGGAAATGAACCATTGAGGTTTTGCTGTTAAGTTATATATGTACTTACGTGGATATTTTGAAATCCACTGATCACTCTTAAATCATATTTTAGCCTATATTTTATTTTAAGTATTTAATACTCAGTTTTTTTTATTTTTGTAGCATGTCCATTATTTATGGGGTATTGTCTGCATCAAATCTTGTATCACCTTCACTGGTTGCAATAGTGGGACCTCAATTCTCCATGGTTGTTAGTGGTGTGTTTTATAGGTAAGTATTAATTTTGAGGTTTTTCCTACTTCCTTGGAAATATTTCTGCAATTTTTTCACATCTAAGGCTCCTGTGCCATACATGAAATTGTACTGGCTAAGCAAAGCCTCTCACAGAGATACTCCAGGTGTTTAACTGCAGAGTACTTCAGCCTACTGGAAGCAGCACATTTTTTTTCCACATAATTTCCATACTTTGTTGATTGTGGAATTGAGGTTATAGTCTTAGATTAATAACAATATTTAAAAAATTCTATGTGCTTAGAAGGGTAAAAAGATTTTTCACATACAACCTGTTTTTCAACATTTCTTAGGAGAAAGTAGCTGATTTAGAAGCACCTGAGTGCTTTAATCTGATTGTTAAATAGCACTGTTCACATTAGGTCAGTATTAAATGAACTGATCTCTTCTGTTCTAGCCTGTACATTGCAGTCTTTATCCAGCCAGCTACATGGGCTTTCTACACTGCCTCTGTGCTTATTGGCATTGCAGCTGCTGGTAAGCATTGTTCTTACTCTGCTAACTATTTTTTATGAGATTGGAATATACCTTTAAAATATTTTTATTTCCTGAGCAATATATTCTGTCTGTTTCAGTCCTCTGGACAGCCCAGGGAAATTGCTTGACTGAAAATTCTGATGAAAACACCATTGGAAGGAACAGTGGAATATTTTGGGCACTCCTACAGTTCAGGTAAATGTTATTGGTTAATTTCTTTTTTTGGTTGTGTATACATTCTGCCTTTTACACATTTTGCATTGAAAATGACTCCCCTGGGACCTTGCAGTCAGTGGGAAGGAGAGATGGAAGCAATGTTTTTATTGGTGCTGTGCATTACAGAACAGGGAATGAAAGAAAGCTGAATATTGCAATCTCAGCTGCTAAAAAGATAAATTTCTGTTAGGGGAGCATTTGAGGGATGTAACAGCAATTTTGGTTGTGGAGGGCTGTTCCAATTTGTGTCCTTTATTGAGGGAAAAGCTGGTTCTCACTGCCAAGGTGAAGATACTAAAGTTGCACCTGGCAGTCAGAAGCCAGAAAAGAAATACTGTTTTTGATGGCTTTCTGATATTAAACTTTGAGTGCTGCTCAACTAAAAAATCAACAAAAAGCTCAGAATCAAGAAGGGCAGTGAGAAGAAGGCAGGGAATGCTGTGTTGTGGCCATTAAGTGTTCTGTTCAGAGATAGTTGATGCCTCTTTTCAGGGGAGTGTAATACAATTAGGATATAGAGAAAAAAAATGAAATTGTACAAGAAGATAGAGCTGATGGCTTGAGGAGAGACTGAAAAGGTTGGGACTCTTTCCTGTGGAGGAACACAGCTGAGGAAGGTTATTCCAATGTGTTACCCAAAATGTGAGCAGCAGGGGAGCTGAGTGTAGAATTATTGCTCACCAAATGCTGCTGTGCTGAACTGGGGTCACTGGCTGAGAATAAGGAGGGACTGGTTTGAGACAGTTTGTAAAGTGCTTTTTACAGTGAGTGATTAAACTTCTGGAGCTTGCAGCCTGGAGAGTGTGTAGAGTTGGATGGTGTGAGGAGGATTCAAAAGGAATCAAACAAATTCATGGGAGACAGGTGCACAAATTGTACCACCTCTAATGCAGCAGTTCTGAATATTCTCCCAGAATATTTATCTGGGGGGGAGACAGGGGAATGAATTGCAGAAATGCTTAGGGTGCTGAGCCTGCATTGCTCATGCTGCTGTGGGGATGGGATCCAGGGCTGGGAGAACATCAGCCTGAGCCAGCATGCATTTGTCAAACTTGGTGTTTCTCAAGTTTTCAGTTCCAGAATTAACCCCTCAGTATGTTATCAGAGTAGCAATTTCCACAAACCCAGCTGATTGTGGGTTTTACAGTGAGTGAAATGCATGGGTAAATAAGAGGAAAATTTACTTTAAAACTGTTTAAAATAATTTATTCACAATGACTGTATTTTGGGAAATGGTAGTTAGGGACACAGAATTTCCTTGAGCTGAGCAATCCTTCAGACAAAACACATGACCCTGCAAAGGAAGTATTACAAAATCACCTCCAGAAATACGTCAGCTTTCTAACCTACATGCTTCCAAAATCAGAAGCAACTTCAATGCAGATTTCTTCATTTTTGCCACCACTTTGTGTCTTGATTGATAAAAATGAATAGCCAGCATTTTGGGGCAGAATCCTCAAATTTGAGTTTTATATAGAAGCAGTTGACATGGGGAGTGACTCATGTCTTTATTTCTTTCACGATTGCACAGTTTTGAGATTTTGTTGTTGTTGTTGTTGTATAAAATAGTAGTAATGTGGTGTTACTACCCTAATATTTTCCTAGAATGTATTGTTGACCTTTATTCTTTTTGTTTTCAGCTTGATTTTTGGAAATCTGTATATATACTTGGCTTGGCAAGGAAAAACTCACATATCAGGTGGGTACTGCTTGTTTATGTGGCCAACCTTTAAACACAGTAGCACGAATTAACAGATGAAATAATGAACTCCAAAGGGGCAGGAAGCTTATACAAAAGCAGACTTTTTTTTTTCCCCTTCCAATTTATTGTAGGTAGTCTCTTCTTGGAGATTTTCCACAATAGCTACTCTGGGATTTTCCCTGTGCAGACACATTTGTGCCAAAATACACCTGGGAAAGGTGTTCTGGCTGTGTGTGTAATATTGTACACACTATTCTATTCCAAAGTAAGCTCCTGGTGTGGAGGGTTCTTTAAATCATATTGGAGATTGATAAAGCTATGAAATAAAGGAAAATAAAGGAAAACCATCTCAGTTTTTACTTCATGTCTGCATTAATTGTGCTGGCAGAAAGCACTGTTGGAGGCAGAGGCTGAGATGAGGCAGCACTGCTGGGAGACTGGAGAAAGAACTCTCTTCCCTTCTTGGCATAGTTTATGAGATGAATTTCCTGATGGGATTGTAATTAATGCTGTATTTTTTTCCATTTGATGTTGTGCTTGACTGGCAAAGAGCAGGAACTGAGTAACAGTAGATTTTTTTCGTGTTCTTGAGCCAGACAGTGTCGAGATTCTGGTTTTAAACCAAAGATTTCAATCAACTGTTTAGGCCAAGCAAAGTAGGGGGATGGGTATTCACTAAAAAAAGTGGTGAAAATAGATTTTAATAACCAAAAATGAGTGCTGTGGGAAGGCAGTGCTCTGTAAACAGGTAAGTTTGATTTTCCTGTTCTATAATTACTGATAATTTTCCTTATTTAGTTCTAATGTTGAATATCTACTAGAATGGTCAATTCTTTTAACCTTTAACAGATGATTTAATTCTGCTCTGGTCAATCAGGAATAAGATGTTGACTTTTAAATGATAATTATCAGGTTTCAGAAATAACAGAACAGAGAGAACAGTTCACTTCTTGTTTCTATTAGCTCCATCTTTTCAGGTTCTCCACAAATACAGGTTTGGTAATGACACACTGGCTAAATTTAAAGGTCATTTTCTGCATTCTCTCACCTGTAATACAAAGGTTTAAGTGTTATTGGAAATACTGGAGACACTTTGAACCTGGGGGGGGATCTCTAATTCTGTGCATTCCAAACTTCACTGCTCTACTAACTACAGAACAGAGCAATTAACTATGAGGCTGTTCTGCTGTTACATTTCCCTCCATCTTAAATGTCTTGAGATTCCTCTTTATTAGAAAATTTTATATCAAACCCTAACAGCATTTAAAAATCAAATAGCATTTAAAAATCAAATAGCATTTAAAAATCAAATCTTATTTTACTACCTATATAAAAATAGCAGAGTCATTTCAAGCTGTGAAGCACACCTTCTCTTTTTGGATATATGATCATACCCAAGTTATTTTTAGGTCAAGTTTGCAAAGGGGGAAGTAAATACAAGCATAGGTAATATCTTCAGGGTCATGCATTAGTTCAGTCACAACTCTTTGCTGTTACTGGCTTTTTTCCCTCCTTAATACTGGTAATTGGGGGTGGCTTTTGCATTAGATGTGACTGTGCTGCAGTAACCAACTTTTTAGCAGAGTTGCCCACTCAGCTGCTGTGACAGTTACTGAGGTTTTGGTGGTTTTAATGCCTACAGTTTATGATGTTGTGGTGCTCATACTGGTCAAGAGATTCTCTTAGAAATCTGAGGGGGTTTGGGGCAGTTTATGTCCTGTCTGAATTATATAAGTCTTCAAAGATGTACTTTCTTCTGCTAATAATTTATGCACTTCCTTTAATTGGCTGCTCCTTGGTCATTGCCTTTGCATGGCAGAGAATGCGAGGGACCTCTTTAATTTGCTGATATTTTATTAGCACCATAAAACTGAGACAGGAGTTTGCCAGCAGCTCCATGTGGAAGGTAAGCTAGAAAATTAGTGTGTGTTAAACACTGTAGCATGTGTGTGTTAGTTGTTGGAGGGTAGCTGGATTGGTTTGAATCTCTTCTGCACATCTGCTTACGGCTCTTGTTTGTTTTTCCACAGAGAGCGATCGCAGAACTGTCTTCATTGCTCTGACTGTTATCAGTCTTGTGGGCACAGTTCTGTTCTTTCTGATTAGGAAACAAGAGGACACAAAAGCTCCAGGGGATGATGATTCCACTAATGAAATCCTGGGGGAGAGCTCGTAAGTGTTGATGGCAATAAGTGTTGTCACAGCTCCTGGTTTGTGCTCCTGCTCTGCAGAGGAACACTGTGCATTCACTTCCCCTCTGTGCTGGGAGCAGGAATCTTATCAGCAATCTGGTGGATTCACAGATTTAACAGAAAAGTGTCTGTGTTTTAACAATGAGAATATATGAGAAATTATGTTCTTGATATGGCATATTCTCAAGGGTGAAGTTCAGTACTGCACATGAAGTTTTTTTCCTTTGATAAGCAAGTGCCTTGCAAAAGATAACCTTCACCTCTTCTCCACTGATTATTATTTATCTTGCCCTCATCAGCCCATTTGAAAGGCTGGAATAAACAGAAAATACTCCTTTTTTATAGGTTGTTTTACAAACTAGAACATGTTTTTTTCCTATCTTCTCTAAGTATATATTCCACCCTGATAAATACATTAGAAATGCACAGTTACACAGATTCAGTGCAGTTTTGCCTGAGGCATCAGCTTAAATATTTTTGCTTTATTTAAAGAACAATGAAAATGTTAGAAAAAACATCAGTGAGCATGCCTGTGGAAAAAATGTTGAAAGCTAAAAATGTTCAAAAGAAAGATTCTATTAAGCAAGCATTCACCAGTGCAGGCAGCAAATAGATTTTGTGGTTACTTTAGATCTCAGAAACTTTTAAAAATACATTGGCACATTCCAGTAGAAAATGTACAGAAAGTTTGAAAAATGAAGGTGCCTTCCAGCACAGCAATAAAGTGTGATTATTCTCTTCCATTTTGACCAAGTAATTTGTTTACCCAGGTCTGCACGAAACAAAATGATGAGAGCAGTGGCTGCCTTCAGTAAGTACAATTTCACATAAGAGTTGCTTCAGCAGAAGCTGGCAGCTCTCTGTGTTTGTGCTGATGATGTGATCATGTACAAACCACTTCAATCACATACCTGAGTGGTCCAGGAGAGATTTGGAGTGTTCCTCCTTTGATGTGATTTCAGATCCAAACTGCTTTACAACAGCGTCCTTGTACAGATGAGCACAAAAGGAGCAGGTTACTCCTTGGGAAAGGCAGTGAGACTGAAAAACAAAAATCAACAAACATATGAAGATAAAAAGAAGTCAAATAGGTTGTTTGATTTTGTCACCAGTTAACAGTTTAGAGCTGAAGCATCTGCAGTTCCCTTTGAAGCTTGATGTGTTCTGCCTGAGACTGTTAAGTTTGTTGTGAGGATGTGGGGATCTTCACTGAAAATCTGTTTATCCTTTCAGGAGACAGTTGCCATGAACTGAGAGTACAAAAATACAGAGAGCAGAAAATTGTCTGATAATTGAAAACTGTGTATCTCCTCTTTAATATTTCCCCCACTGCATTTCTTACAGAACACGATTTTTGGATGGCACATTTCTTCTAGTTGGGAGATTGGGGTTGGTTTATTTGACACTCTGTTGTAATACACAGTAAATAAAACTTGAATACACAGTTTGTATAATAACCAATTTTTGCTTTAAGCAAAGAGCAAAAGTAACTGTAGATTATCTTAGTAGTATCCTCAGAAGTTTTATTAATTTTCTTTATTATTTCCTTACAGAGAAATCTATTACACTGAGCTTCACCAAAGAGATGCTGCTTCTCAGTGTTACCACAGCCTACACAGGTATGAAGCCAGCAGAGTTTCACCATGGAGCACTGGCAGGGCATTGTTTGGGATTTTAACCCCAGACTGGAACTTTAATCCATATCTCTGCAAACATTATTTAGATATTTTAATTATTTTTTGGTTACTCTTGATGTTTTTGTGTCCTGGTGAATGTTTCTGTACAGGAGGAGGGGTGCATCCAAACCTGCTGGTGCTGGTTCAGTAAAATTCTGGGTCCCAAAGTGAGAGGCAAAATTTACAGAGCTGGTTTTTTATGGGATTTGATATTACACTATCAATAGATTGGAGATTGTTTAATGCAGCTCTATTGCATTTGAATTACAGAATTGTTTGTACATCTCCCTTCATTAAGCCATGGGAGATTCCCAATGCTCCTCATTTTAGTGTTTGTTCTGTTGGGAACCAGCTTTGTAATTTCCAACTGTTTTTATCAATAGGATTTGCTGTGGCAAGAGCTCTCACTCTTTTCAGCAACTTTCAGTTAAACTTGGTCTGCCATCCTTGGACCAATGTATGAGTTGTAAAATAAAAATGTATTTTTGCCATATAAGTGATTCTTCCACCAAAAAAAACCCTATAAAATCCTTGAGGGGTTTTTTTGGGGGGTGTTTCTTGCTCCATATTTGGCTTCAGATGTAGTTTTGTTCATGATCAAATTAGGTTGTTTTATAAAATAGATGCACTTTCAGAACCTAAGCTCTGAGTCACCTTTAGGAAAAATTGTTGTTATGTGAAAATAAAAATGTAGATGTGAACAAAATATCATCATTGCAGTTTACAGCAGCTCCTGGTAGAGAAACAGCAGGAGTAACTCTGGAGTTGGGTTGCTCCAGCCACTAATCTGAGTTACAAATTACTTCACAGCATCTCCAGTGTTGTGTTAACCCAGATTAATTCACATGAATTCCTCTGGGGATGGGAATGTGGAGCAAGATAACAAGGGAAGGGAGTCAGTCAGGTTTTGCCTGAATATCCTGAAATTTGGGTTTACAGGTGGCATAAAAATAACTCAGTCCAGACTGGGGAAAAAAATATCTGCTGCCATCTTCTGGATCTGGGTTGGTGTTGCTGCTGTCTGTAGGAAAACAGAAAATTCCCTAAGGCCAACAAGGGCTTTTATTCCAAAATTGCTGGGATTAAGATACTCCAAGTGCACCCCTGCTATTGAAGCCATGCAGTCCATCCAGGCAGGGCAGGGTGAGCTGTACCAGCATTTGGCTGTAGCCAAAAAGCAAAGGATATAAATGAGAAAGTTATTTTAAGCTGTGTTGTTTTAAATACACTTTCTTATTGAGTTGGTATTTTTATATTGATGGTTGCTCATGGTAATGTTAGCTGGGTCAGTGGTGTCACCTTTCCTCACACTAATGGCAATAGAAAGGAAGAAAGAGGATTTAAAAGAAATAGCAGTTGTTCTTTCTCAGCTTAAATTCATTATGTTGTATAAAAAAGTTCATTTTAGGACTCTTAGCTCCTTCTTGGTATTTGAGGCTGCAGGGACTTTTAGGAATGCCATAACTTGAAGGAGGGGGGAGATCTTTAAATGAAATTGTGCCTTATTTCTTCAGTTACATTGTGTTATTTCACATGGCATTTTTTATTTGATAAAATTCCAGAGTTTCTGTAGAAGTAGAAATATAAACTGTATGTTTATATTCGGTTAATATAACAAAATATAAACGAATATATATTATAAACAAATATAAACATATATATTGTTGAATTGAAACATTTTAGGTGTTGGGTCAAGAGTAGCAGCACTGAACCTGGGTGCCTGTGACACCAATTAGTGACACTTTCCTAATGTGGTTTTTAGGAACTGGTATAGAAGAATATAATAATTACACCATTTAAAATTCCCTCTTTGCTTTTATTACCCACATCTAATTTAAATATATGCTTTTTATATTTTGCTGAGGGCAAACCAGCCTTTAGACATAAAGATTTTTTCATTACCTTTATGGGAGTGCATCTATCAGTTCTGTCTGGTTTTTTTCCAAGGTTTGGTGTTAACATTCTTTTCTGGAGTGTATGGAACATGCATTGGTGCTGTGAATAGGTTTGGCAGTGAAGAGAAAAGCCTGATTGGTCTCTCTGGTATTTTTATTGGTGTTGGAGAAATCTTGGGTGAGTCTAAACTTGCTACTTAGGCTGATGCAGTTATTCAAAATGGGTTTTTTTGTGTTTTACTCAATAGTGTGTTTGGAGCTTCCAGCAATAATTATGTGAACACAAAATGAAATAGCAGCAATACAATTGGCACTGTGGTTCCTCTCTGCACTGTGAATTATACTTTACACTCTGTAAAGTGGATGTAGACCAATTCTACTATTCTGCATTCCTCTGTGGAGGAATAGACAGACTTCAATTGTGAGAAACACTGGGCTGCAGCGTTATTGGGGAATTGAAACCATTTTGCTATTTTAAATAGCATTATGTTTGCATTTTTATTACTTCTCGAGTGATATAATTTTAAAATTTTTGAATAAATGCTTACACAAAGGATTTCTTTCTTTAAAAAGTTTGCTTGTGTTAAATGAGATGTGGTATTTGAATAAATCTGGCTGCAGGTAATATTCATTAGGTAAATATTTCTTTTTTTCTGTAGACTCAAGCACTGAGGTGTTTAGCAAAAAACCACTGTTCATTAGCAGCTCAGATCCATTGAGTTGCATGCTGTTCAATTAAGAGCTGAGCACAGGCTGTCCATTTTCACTCAGTGATGTTGCTGGTTAAATACTTGCCAAAAGGTGAAATATGTTCATCAGCCCCCATCTGATCAATCTCCTGCCCCATTTCCCTGCAAACTCCTTGGGGCTGTTTGCATGTCAGTCAATCTTTGTTATCCAATGTGGGAACGTTTGTAATTTAAATTGTCAGTATTTAAATCTCCACTTCTGATGGAATTCTCTTTTCTGCTCCTGCAGGGGGAGGAATCTTTGGCTTGCTCAGCAAGAAGGGTCGCTCTGGCAGGAACCCAGTGGTGATGCTGGGCATCCTTGTCCACTTCATAGCCTTTTATTTAATTTTTTTCAACATGCCAAATGATGCCCCCATTGCTCCTATGGAAGGAACAGATCAAGTTGCTTATATGATTCCAAGGTATGTGGGATTTTTCTTTTGCCTTTGGCTGCTGTAACTCAGGATGTGCATAAAACAGCTTGTTTCTCTACAGAAAATTTCTTGAAGTTTTTGTCTGTGTAGTGACTAACTCCCTGGAAAAAGCTTTCAGGAATTCTGTTTTTGTTAAAGGTAGATATTCCACCAGTGTGCACCCAATTTAGGAACTTGAATGGCATAAGAATAAAAAGCCTGGGGATGAATAATAGCAGTTGTGTCACTTGACAACTGATGTTTCTGACATGTAGCACAATAGCAAGACCAGCATCTATTGTAGTGGGTGTTAAGAATTCAGTTTATTTTAAAACAGTCTTGGGCTCAGTTTTACATCAGGGAGCACCAGCCTTGCCCTGTTGCACTGGTTTTTAAAGTCTTCCAGTGCTTATTGTCAAATCCCACTTGGTGTGACTGCAGCCTGTCCCTTACAGCACTCAGTGTTTGGGGGAAGAATATAGAAAGCTTTCTTATCTCATCATTACCACTTTCTTTTGGGCTGTACTTTTACCAATTGCTGTGAAAATCCTGTCCTGTCAGTTTTGCAGACCCAGCTGCTAACTTGCAGGTGACTGGTCTTAGCTGGAGTATTTTTCTGCCAAATGAATTGGTATTTCTCTAACATTCCTGCAGATTTTTGAACTCACCATGTGCCTCAGCTTTTAATCACTGCTGTGTGGGTTTTGTGGCTCCAAGCACTGAAACCTTATTTTAGTGATTCTAATTCAGTGCAGAATTGACTGCAGGTAACAGTAACAGAAGTCTTGGCATTCAAGAAATTAAAGCTGATGAAATGACTCCTTTTGCCAAGTCAGGCATTCCCAGTTCTTTTCTGGGGAAATTAAAAGTGTGATAACTTTCTTCCATTCCCACTTTCCAAATAAGCCTGCCAGAAACAGTTTATAGATGTGTGAGCTGTTTGAAGGAATGGCTTTTATATTGGAATTGCTTTCTCTTTAAGCAAAGAGGTGGCCATGCTCTGCAGCTTCCTGCTGGGGCTGGGGGACAGCTGCTTCAACACCCAGCTCCTCAGCATTTTGGGATTCCTGTATTCAGAGGACAGTGCTCCTGCCTTTGCCATCTTTAAGTTTGTCCAGGTATTGCCTAACACAACCTTTGGAAGTAGGATTGTTGGGATGTTACTGAAATACTGGGTTGGGCTTTTTAATCAGCTGAGAAAAATGTTTCTGCAAATTATTTCATGCTGAATTTTGGTGAAAAATAGTTTTGTGAAGCTGGAAACAGTTTCTTAAAGCTTTGTCTGTGTTTTTTCTAGACAAAGTGGTTTGAAATACCAGAGATTTTGGTAGTGGTTTTACCATTTGAAATACCAGCTTGCAATGCTACAAACACTTTGGAGTTTGGTGATCATTTTCTACAGTTGAATGCTGTTTAAATAACAAGTAGACACTAAATCTGTTGTGGGACATGCTGAGACATATGTTGAGGTATAATGAAGCCTTAAGATTCTCTGTCTACTACAAAAGCATTCTGAGAGCTTCATATTAAACTGTCTCTATGTCACTTTGATAATCCTTCTGTAGCAGCACCAGCCTGGAAATCTCCACTGATCATCTTTTCCCTTTGTTTTTCCTCTCAGTCCATCTGTGCTGCAGTTGCCTATTTCTACAGCAACTATTTCCTGCTGCAGTGGCAGCTCCTGATCATGGTGCTGGTGGGATTCTTTGGAACAATCACCTTCTTCACTGTGGAGTGGGGAGCAGCAGCAGCTCTGGCTGCCCGTGGCTCTGACTACAGCAGCATCTGATCCCTGTGCCAGGAGGAACAGCACGTGGGCTTTGGGAAGTGGCAGAAAGGGGAAAAGTTGCTGCAGAGGTTGAGCTGGAGGAAGCTGCTGCTTCAGTCCAACTGAATGTGAAACAGGAGGGAAAAAAATGCCACATTTGAAAGGCTTTTATTCCTTGCTTTGGTCATCTGAGCGTGGTATTGTGTTGTTAAAAATCTGGTATTGGGAATAGCAGGAAATGTAGGGACCCATGTATTGAACAATTCTCTTCTGAGATGTCCCTTACAGAATGTAATTGCCTAATTTCACTCTACCATGCTCTACAGAATTAGTTTGGGGTTTTGTCCCTTAAATTATTTTTCCTATATTCTAGTTCTGCAGGCATTTGAATTCCTGTATTGAATGAGTGATATTTTTATAAGGTAGATTATATTGCAGATCGTGTCTGCACAGCTGAGAAATCAATTTGACATTGAATTTTTCAACAATTAGATGTGAGGAAGTATTTCTGTGGGAAATGTTGCCTTATTCTGTATCCCTCAGCTCCTTGTTTCCCAACCATTTGTTTATTAATCTGTTTCATGTTCTTAAGTTATCAGGTCCATTGGGGTTTTTTGTTTGGTTGGGTTTTTTTCTGTTGTGGGCTTTTTTGGGTTTGGTGGTTTTATTTTTGTTTTTTTTTTTTGTTTTTTTTTTTTTTGGTAAGGAAGTCAATCAGGTTATAGTGTGACATGATAGATTTTTAGAAGAATTTGAAGAAATCACCCTTGGCCATCTTAAGGGTGGGATCCCAAGGTGAAATAATGATGGTGGAAAACAGCTTCTGGCTCAGCATCTCAGAATTGAGCTGTGTTGGGAAAGATGCTGAACCTTCCTCAGGGTATTGCTTTATGAAGGACCATAATCCATGGAGGACCATAATCCAGAGTTTCCCTCCCAGAACCCCAAATAGTTCTTTTGAGTTCAATGACATTTTCATCACTGATGGAAATCTGTGATGGGAGCAGTAAGACAACTGCTAAAAATAGAAATAGTGTCAGAATGTGAACTGTCAGAACAATATTGCAGTGTTTATTCTACTGCATAACCTGAAACACTTGTCCTCAGTTGTTTTATTCAGTCTGTTTTGGGAAAATTGAAGTGTAATTGAAGTGTAATCTTACTCCACCAAATAGGAAAGCAAGGTTACAGGCATAGTAACTGAATTTTAATCCAGAACTGTTATAGGTGATGTAACAGGCAGTGACTGCAGCTCACCCTGCCTTCATCTGCCTACATAAAACTCTGCAGTTCTTGCAGTTGTGTTTGTCTGGTGGGCAGAGAGCAGGCATGGAACACTCAGAAGGTGTTTTTAGACACTCCATGGAGCTATTTTTAGAAAAGTACAATTCACCAACCCTCTTTTATGCCCAGTCAGAATGTTAATGCCTTGTCTTCAAAGACAAGTTTAAAAAGACTGTTTTACATGTCAGTAGCTCCCACGTGCTGTAACTGTGTAGGAGCTCCCAAGGTTAACCCTGGGGAGGGAGGGTGGCATCTCCTGTGACATTTGCTGTCACTTCTGCTCTCCAGGAGCAGTGCCACAAGTGGAGCACAGCCAAACAGCCGAGGGGAACCTTTTTACAGGGATGGAGAAAGGGATTTTTAAATTCCCAGGGATAGAGAAAGGGATTTTGAAATTCACAGCAGGTTTTTGCTGTGAGATCAGCAAGGTGTTAATTGGGGAGATTAGAGGGCACCTGAACATCCAGCAAGCTGAGAAATCTGGGAGGACAAGCAGCAGGGAGAGGTTTGTGTGTATTCCCAGGAGATTTAATGAATGATGGAAAAGAGAATGAGGCAGAACATGGATTTGAGTGAGGGGTTACCAGAGCCATTCCAATCTGTCAGGCAGCCTGAAAAAGCATTCAGTGCTCAATCAATATGTGATTAATGGGACCAGCAGCACTGCAAAGCCTCTCTCTCTCCCACTCCTGTTATCCTGCAATTTGAAGCATATGATTTTTATATACTGAGCACTACAAATGTGTGGATTAAAGGGTGCTGCCACTGATTAAAATTCTCTTGTTGCTACACATTTGCATTTTCTCCAGAGTACCAAAAGGGATAAAGAGGGTTTTTTTTTCCCAAATAGGGAATTACTGATTTTTTTTTTTTTCCTCCAAACCCTGTTCTCCCCATCTCCTTAATGAGAGCAAAAAGACTTGAAAGTTCACAAGGAGCAGTTTGGGGAAAAAAAATTATTTTTGGATCTTGTGGTGATGAGTAACTTGTAAATGCTTTTTAAACAATGTCATTTAATTGTAAGTAGGTTATGGCTCTCATGAGGTTGCTTTTTAAATTGACCCCTTTTAATAGTGAACTTCTGTGATGTTCATTTGCCATATAAGAATTATATGAACTATTTTATTAGAAATTTAAAGTGCTAAGTTTATGTAGTTTCAAAAAGCATTTTGAAACCAACTCAGAGGGACACTAATGAACAAGGACTTGTGGGTTTTCAGTACCTCTGTGAATCTGATGCTTTACTTTTTTCTTTTGCTCTGTTCTGGTCTGACTCAGATAATCTTAGAAGACTGCTCAGAACTATTTATAGGGTCATTAAAGGGAAGTTATTATTAAAGGGAAGTATTATTGCTCTGTGACAAGATTTACAAGAAATCATGGCACTCTCCCAGCTGCATCATGGATAGCTATTCTTTTTTACAATTAACTGTATAACTGTTGCTTTGACATTTGACCTGAAGAGAGAGGCCTCAGTTATTCAGGCTGCTGATGACATATGATTGCTTTTCACTTATTCATATTTCTTTAATATGCCAAGAGGTGAAAGATCCTCTCCAATGTACACATCTGTTCATTTGGTTGAAATTTTTGGTGTAGCAATATAAAGAACAGTAACACTGACATCCATTTATGATTCCATCTCTTAATCTGTTAATCAGTATTTACCAACCATGAGGCTGCAGCCTCTTCATTTCACCTCAGTGGCCTTTGAGCAATTTCATGTTAATCTGAATTGGGAGCTCACCATTAAATAAAGAGGGATTTGAAAAGAAGGATTTTGCTTTATCTGTGGGTTTGTTTTATATTATAGATTTCATCTTTATAAGCAAATTATACATGAAGTTGCTTTGGTTTATTAAAAAGTCCTCTTTCATTTTTTTCCCCTCATTCTTTTAGGGTGTTACTAAGGTTTAATATCTTGATTTAATATCACATCCTCATGTTTTTCAAGCAAATGCTAAACAGGAAATGAAAACAGCTTTTCTTGACAACTGAGTGCCAAATAAACTGCTACAAATTAGTATTCAATGAATCTCATATAAACATACCTGTATTTTGTCTTGCCAGTTGGTTTTCATTTTGATACATGGATGCATGGACTGAGAATTTCCAGAACTGTGGACTTCCTTCCTAATTAATGATGTGGTTTTACTGTTGTGCAATTTAATTACTTTTGTGTTAATTTAATTAGGTACAATCCATGTTAGCAAGTTGAGATAAATTAGAGAACCATTTATAAAATAATTTTTTAAAAATAATTCTAATCTATAATTTTATGCAGGTACTGCCAGACTCTTAAGGGGTATAAAAAAAATCCCAAACAACCAGAACCCCCCAAAATCCTTAACCAAAGTCCCTATCTTAGCAGAAACCCTTCTGTGGTACAGTTACAAGAAACAAGAAATATTGGGCTGGTGAGTTCTTTGAATGTTTGTGACCATTTTAAAATCTACTGGAGAGAGAACTTCCTGGTGGGGTTTGCTGTGATTTATGGAAAAATAATTCAAGTGTACAAGGCCATAAGTTCAGGACCACTGAGTTAATCAAAGTTCCTCTGGACCTTCTTGGAATTCCACAGGTTTGCTTCAGCTGATGAATGTGCTTCCCTGGCCTCCAGCCTAAGTGCCAGCAATTAATGCACAGAGGGGTGAGTGAGCAGAGCACTACATTCTGTATTTTAGGGCAGACATGAATTGTTTGCTGTCAGTATAAATAGGAAATGCAATGTTCAGCATCGTGCCAGCAGCCACAACACCCACCCTGGACCCAAACTGTGCAAGTGTGTTAGTCAAGGCACGACCTCACCATCACAACCATTAATTTTCCTGGTGAAATGTGTGTTTGAAGGCTTTATCCACACCTCTGTTTTCCTTGGAGACCCACAAATGTTAATTAAATGGCAGCAGCAGTTAATGCCATGTTTTCCTTGATCCCTGTCTAACATGCAGGTAGAAATAATGAAAGATAGGATAATTTAGAGATGGAGCTGAACTGGGAAGTTTGCTGCTTTACAAGGACCTTGCCCTTCTGATATGACCATGCTGGTTCAAAAGCAAGATTGAGACTCATGATTATCATGGATAAATTCAGAATGGTGCCTTAATAAATTTATTTTCAGAGGTTGAGTTAGTACCACAGAGAAGCACCAATAAGAGTGGGGGAAACTCCCTTAAAATGCAATAAAAAGCAAATCTGGAAGTGAGAATTAGTCTCAGTGGGCACATGAAGGGGGTGCTTTGCTCAATTTGTGCATTAGAAATTGAGATTTCTATTTAATTCATACTGCCTCTGTTAAATTGGTTATCTCAGCTGCTGAGAGTCTTCCTCCAGGCTCTCCTTTCTCTTTTATTTACATTTTGACACTGTGCAGAACTCTAGATGATGGCAACTTTTTTACCTTTAAAAGGTAGGTCCTTAGGCTGATAATTGGTGATAATTGGGAGCAGGCTCGCACAGTGATTATCCCTAATGGAACTCTGATTTCCAGTGAGTGTACCGACTCTTCCTTTCATGGTCACAGGCACGCAAATAAAAGCGAATTACAGACATTGTTTTTGTTAATAGGCTCGTTAAGTGGTCGGGATTGCTCTTGTCACTGTTTTAGGAGAGGGGACAGTCTGAAGGATGGCTCTGGAAGTGCTTTCTAAGAGCCAGCTCGGGGAAATGCAGTGGTTGGTTTAGGGCTAAGTAGCCCTTTGGAAATGCTTCATTCTGGCTTAGACACACCAGTGAAGTGTCTCAGGGAACCAGTGGCTGCTTCACCTCAGCCTGTTCCCTTGTCCTGTCTGAAAGCCCATCCTAAGGAAACCCATGATCTTGTTGAGAAGTGTCTAAATGTTGGTTTGGGGCTATTTTTTTGTTTGTTTCCTCTCCCAGTATCCTTTCCCACTATTTCAGTTACTTTCCTTTTAACTCGAGTGGTCTGGTCAGAAAGACTTCAGAAAATCAATCAGAATTGTGGAGTGCTTGTGTCCTGTTTATCTAAATTTAAATGTGGCTGTGGAGGGCTTTGTCCAGGCTCAAAGTCAGGATTCAGTGCAGGCTCCATCCTGCAACTGAGGGGAATGGAGGGAGCAGCAGGAACAGCCTTGTGGTGTTTGTGAGGGTCCCCAGGACAAGGTGAGAGATGAGAATTTGACTCCATGTTCTCAGAAGGCTATATTATATTATATTATATTATATTATATTATATTATATTATATTATATTATATTATATTATATTATATTATATTATATTATATTATATTATATTATATTATATTATATTATATTATATTATATTATATTATATTATATTTATT